ATAAAATTGGATTTTACGGATAGTGCACCCAGAGTGCTGTTACTTTATTTAGTAATTTCTTCCAGAATTTTTTACCGTGTCTTTTTAATTTAATGAATAACGTTTTCTTTATTGAACTTGATATCCTTATCTCTTTCAATTAAAATCAGTCCGCGTTGTAGTTCCGAGAACCTGCTTCAAAAACAATGTAAAGAAAAAACATCAAATTTCAATAATGCTTTATAGATTGTTAATGTGATGTCTCATTTTAATAAACTTAATGATCCGATTGAAAACAAATTCTGTTTCTCGAAGATCCGATGAAGCGATATTATTTAATGATCTGATCACGTGGTTTAATTGAAATCGTTTCTGATTAACGTTTGTGAGGATGTTACCTACTGTTACGGAAGTCAATGATTTGCATGCAAATAATATCTTATGCGAAATTCATATCGTGAGTTCGTTTAGTTTCAAAAGTTATTGCTTTTATTAATATATATTTCGAATGTAATTATTGATTTTATATTGTAAACGTTTTACAGTTTTTTTGTTGCAATATCGAATGGTATAATTAAATTATTTACTTAAAATCAACCCTTGTTAATATCGTCTAAGATCAATTTTGTTGGGTATCGTTTTTTTACATCTTGAAGAAAATTGTATAAAATATAAATTAGTTAATAAGATATTCTAAAAGGATAATTTTGGTTTTATATGCATTATTTTGTATTATACAACCGGAGATGAACTATCTGTTTAGATTCTGAAAATTATATGTTTTCTATTCAAAGTAAAATGCATTAAATGTCAGGTTATGAACTGTAATACAATACAGCACAATACATATCATGTATATATATATATATATATATCAATANATATAAATACAGAAATGTTGTATATTCTTTATATTGTTTGTATTGAAAAATTAAAATTTAAATATATAATAGAAATTAAAATTTTTACTGAATATTTCTGTTGATGAAATAAATTTTAATATAAATTTATACAACTTAGAAAACGTATATTAAATGTATGGTTACTTTATAAATAGATAATTATTTTATATTTTCTTTTCTTTTACGCATATTTTAAATATATGTTCATTGTATATCTTGAATTTTTAAACTTACATTACAAATAAAGACTTTCATTAAATAAATATTAATAACAAAATTTTGATACAAATAATTTAAGCAATTATTAAAAAATATATTTGTTTTATAAGATAAAATGCATTTTATATAACATAAAATAAATTATAACAAATGATGTGATATATTATAAGACAGAACGTGCCAATTTAAACATTTTCAACTACTTTCTAATTTTCAAGTAGCTATTATAATATTTATTGTATTACTTTAACCTATTATATAAAAGAAAAAAGTGACACGGCAATTGATCTTGCCACTTGTCTGTAAACTTTCAACAATACCTGCAGCCTACCTATTTTTTACCATCTCCCATCAGGTTGTTAGAATAAAAAAAATACTCTCTCAGGTTTTTATTTTTTTTTTTTATCAAAAGGAATCCTGGGGAACGATACACCAGCAATATTAGAAAACCATTTCCTGTCACAGAAGGGGATCCCTTTCACATAGGGCAGGAAACATTGGTACCTCGTAACCATAGCAACATGCATTGAGTAGAGTTGAGAGGTCGTTTACTGGAGCATCACTAAGAATTATTGGGAATTCTTTCTCACACTGCTCAAGTTTTTAATGCTATTAATGATTTCAGGCCGGAAAGTTTTTCTAGAGCAATTTTTTTTCACTCTCCCACAGTTACCCAGGTTCTCGAGTTTTTGTAGTTGTTGTAATTATTTTACCCGATGGATCTTGTTAAGAACATCCGCCGATGTTTCCCTTTCGTTCATTGTTTGAAAGATATTTATGATTCGATTGGGTGGCATTTACTGCAATGTAATCACTTGCCAATTATTGTCTCCAGCTATTATGAAAGAATGGATATAAATTTTCATTATCTTTCATAGTTTAACGCAATTATTGCGAGCTTTGACTTCTATTGCGTATTAAAGTAACACATATAAAGGTATTGTTTGTATTTGAGAACTACGCTCATAAATTATTTTCGACTAATAATAGTATGTATTCGAATCGCAACTTGTTTGGTTTTGCAAAAAAATCATTGTTATTTATATGGTATTTCTATTTCAGTTAAGGAGATTATTAACTATAAAAAATTTAATGTTTTTTTTTATCTTTTGTAACTAGGAATAAAGGAAAATTCCATTTAACAAATATATTTCAAAAATAAATAAAATGAGAAATTAACTTTAAATCGGGAAATAAATTCGACAGTTGTGTTTCATTCTTTTTTTAAAAAAAATTATTTTTTCTTTAAATGCAATCGTTTATTCGAACGTTTTATTTGTAATTGAAGTTAAGCATTAAATTCAATAATATAAATACTATCAAAAATTAATCAAGATCAAGGTAAACTCAAGCTGTTTTCTTTTTAAGCTAATAGATTTGTTTAGAAGTAGGTACTTTCTATGTTAACGATATACAAGATTAATAATATAATTCTTTAATATTTTACTATTAATTTATTATTTAATAATATATATTTAATACTCTATATTAAATAATTATATATTTAATGTTACATATTCAATAATAATAATATATTTCATGAATTTAATCATAAATAATTTTATGAAACCATTTTTATTCTTTAATAAAATCGATGAATTTGATAAAATTTCTCCAGAACAAAGGATTATTAGACAATAATTCCCCCTAACCACCGCAGATTGTTCCTTTGTTATTTCCTCTATTTTCCTTAATCTTAGAGACGTATGGGTATTCGAAAAAGAGTTTAAATCGAAGTTAAAGATATTTCATAAGTTCACTCTAAGTCTTAGGATTTTATCATGATTCCTCAGCATTGCTTAAAAATCCTTTACTTGATAAAATTTTCTTTTCAGTTTTGTATTTTTTAGTAAATTTGTAGTAACAAGAACTATCTTTTTAAAAACCAGAATTTCCGACTAACCGTTACCATATAAACAGAAAAATTACTAAAGGAATGATTTAAATATGATATATTTTGGTTTAATTCACCAGAAATATGCTCATTACCTTACAGTATGGTAAATTTTTCAGAATTTTCCTCTCCGCGTACTTTTATACGATAAAATTAAAACCTTTTTAAAATATCCTTTTAGTAGACAAAATAATTCTGAAAGCACAATCAACTCCAGTTTCTGTTCCCAACTTTTAAATGATAAGAAAATTTATCCAATGATTATATTATTTTATACACCTTACCCGTGATTTTTCAGAAACAGGAAAAAAGGTGCAAAAGGAAGGAATAAAAGAGAAAAGGAACCTTTCTGTGCCGGAAAAAAGGGGTCGAAGGTCCCCTTGGGGACTCCCCATCCCCTGCATCCGCTCCACACTTTCTCAAAGGGGGCGCTTCGCACACAGCATCCGCTGAAATTGAAAATCCCACGGGAATCAAGAATTCCAACATACAATGTATAATTTTCAGATTTCAGGTAGAGAAATCTCGATCACACAGGATGCTTATAAGGTGGAGCTTTTCATCAATGAATGGGCGTAGCTGTCGAGGCACTGGGGGGAGGGGGTCTGCAAGGGTGTCTATCGTTTGGAATTTGCGTGGGTGGGAGATAATATGGGCCCTCAGGTAGTGAGGGTCAGAGAAGAGGAAGTAAGAGGCCATACGATTTAAGAGTGTTGATTTTTTTTTTATTTGTATGAATAGCTTGTTACATTTATTTATACTAAGCGGGTTTATTATTCTTTTGAGTACCCATTTATAAGGGACATTGTCAGGACCCGAATAGCAAAAATAGGGCTCAATGTCACCTGCAATTGGTCCTTTTGATTCTCCATAATTTTAATGTTATTAAATATTTTATTTTGCCAGTTCATTTTTTTAAATTAGCTTAATTAATTTTTTCTTAATTTTTATAATTTTACTTAGAATATTTTAAAATTTTATTTTACGCAATCAATAAAGCGGCGTTGAAAAATTGTATTAAAATAATAATTTCACATAACCATTTAAGCTTTAAAAGCTATAAAAGTACAACCATTTAAAGCGTCTTAGAAACATATTTTAAGGTAAAAAGAATCACTTGATATCACACTTTTTAAAAAATAATTAATATTACCTACCAAAAAATGCGTTATGAATTCAATACTTGAAAAACAAATACATCCTCTTTATTTATTTTGAAATTAAATGAGATGTTATAGTAGTTTAAAGTGTGCTAAGAAATAAAAATTTGTGCAAATAAAGTTGTATTAAAATTTGTTTTTCTTTTTAATTAATACATAAAAATATTTTTGATGTTTGCACATGAAGTGGAATTCGTCCTTCTGTTATATGCTTTAGAAGGGCATTATTTATCTAAACTAAATAAATAATAGTTATTACGTCTTTTATTTAAGGCATTAAATTAGGCTTTTTATTAAATAATTTTAACTTTTTTAAATACTTGTTTATTTATTTAAAAAAAAGTATTTCAAAGCAGCAAAAACAACGACATTAGTAATAAAGTAAACGAGTCGTTTTTTTTCATCTCTAGGTTCATGTCAGTGACTACAGTATTAAAAGCATATTATAAAATAAATTAACAAATAAAGGGAAAAAAGTATACCCTTAAAAGAAGGGAGGGAATTATCAATAAACAGGAATAAAATTTTTAAAAAAGTCATCTGTAGTGTCAGATTTTGTGTAAGTTGAAATTTTCAGTTAAAAAAATTTAATAACTGAGACATATAAAGAAGGATGTTAATAGGTGTGTAAATAACTAAGAAGAGATATTATTATATTGCATACAGAAAAAGTACTTTTTTTATTATTTTGTTTTACCGCTACTATTATTATATATTAATTGTTGCTAGATCAGATTATGAACTGTTCCTACAAATAAAAATGACTAATTATAAATAATTTTTAGTTTTATTTTAGCAAATCATTCTGAAATATCTAAAAATTTATAATTTTTTATTGTGTTTCAGTGTCTTCTATTTGTTACTTTCCCATTGAGTTTCAAGGAACATTTCTTACGCAAACACAAGCCAGTGCCGCTTATGGTGGACATACGGTTACATACAGTGAAATAACCGTCGAAGTAGACTCCATACCTCCATGGGGAAGGTGCCATAGGAGGAGAGGAAATAATGTTATTTTAAAAGACACGTAAGTTATTTTGGAAGAAATTATTAAAAAATGTGTCCATATGTTTTCGTTAAAAGTATAAACAATTGAAACATTTTAGCAATATTTTTCAGGAGCTCTAACATTTATTTTTAAACGTATTTCTGAAAAATACTGTTAAAATATTTGCTTAAAGTAACAGACTTACACTGTCAGAAATTCCACATCAAATTACGGTAAAAAGTACCGGCACTCAGGATGTTGGTCCTTTTTACCGTGAAATCAATTTTTACCGAAACATGTTACGAAACAAAAAATCTGATTTACCGTAATTTTTACAGTAATAATTACATTAAAATCACTGAATCACTCAAGTTCAATGAACATTGCTGTAAAAATGGATTTTATAGTAAAATGGTTTTTGAGGAGCGCCGGTTCTTTATAGCGTAATTTGATCCGGAATTTTTCGCATTGACTGGTTGTCCTTGATGCTTATTTTTAGATTCTTCTTAAGAATAAAGTAAAAACAAAATGCATATAAGAGGTTTCAGATTAATATTTAGGTGAAGAAAAAACAAAAATATCCTTGAAGTCTAGCGAATCTCTAATGAAGAAGGCAGGACTGAAAACAACAAAATATGTTTGATTGCTGGAAGAAACGAAAAAGTGCTGTAAGTAAATTATAAAAAACTTCTCCCAGTTTCATCAGGCAATAAAACATGTTTTGTTGTCTTTCCTGTTTTCTTCAGTGTTACATTTCGATTAAAAAAAATTTTTTAAGGTGTATAAATACGTTACTTAATAAATGTAATTTAAAAATGAATTAAGTAATTATATTTGTTATTTTCTCTTAATTTAAACAATATTCCAAGTTGCTTGTAAATGATTTTTCTAATTTATTTCTTTTCTCAAAATTGATTACAAATTTAATTTTTCAGCACTGGTGGTGAAGATTGCATTAGATGTTTTCACATAACACTCAAGTCTCTAAATGTTATTCAAATTCATACAGAAGGTGCGTTAATATTTTAATTTTATATTGTTTAAATCAAATTCAGTTCAATAAAAAAAAATGCTTGTATTAAAATATTTTTAAAATATTCTATCAATCTTTAAAAATAGGTTTAGCTAGATGTTATACAAATGAAGAAGCAGCTAAAGCAACATGCCCGGATGAAAGAGCTGTTATGGAAAGACGTTTTAAAGAAATTTTATTATTTCGTAAGTTTTTATTTTTTATATTGAGTCAGTTGCAGTTGGACAATATATTTTTTTTTAAATTATACTTAAGATAGCTAATTTTTGTATTTTTTCCTTTTTTGAGTTAAAAGATAAAAAATAATGAAAATTATTTAAATTTGAGAAGAAAAGTATTGAAAGTACCTCCAATAAGGCTAGTTTGACCCAATGCTTGATCCAGGAGTTTCTTTGCCTTCTGGGTTGGGTTCAAAATTTGAAGGCTATGGAGTCGAACATTGAAAATCGTAAGATCAGAATTGGGTCAGTTGTCCAACGCCGGTTATAAAATAAAACAAAATTACCATAATTAGCTAAGCATCCTTGCTGTCAACAATACTTTGGCAACTTTTTAACGGCTTCTCTAACGAATAAGTGCTTTAATCTGTTGATTTTTTAGTTATATTATTATAAAATATACCCGGATGGCAATTGGTCATTGCTTATCCTTTATTTTTATAAGAACAAAACGAGTGGAAAAAAATATATTTTAATTGGTGTATTTCCCTAAGTTTATTCAAAGCTGACAAATGTCGATTAAATAACTGATATTAATAATTGCAAATTCGCGGTGCATATTGTTCTTACGTTTTGAAATAGTCATTGAGACCTTACCTTCTATTAAGGCTGTTTTTTGAAGGTTCTGTCGTCATACAAAATGGTGCTTTTTTGTGAATAATATGCTATTTTTATAACTGTTTTGAGCTTGCGACTGTTATGACTCTCAGATCAAGTTTAGCGTATCAAAAGCCAGCGTTGTCTACACTTATTTTGAAAATGGCATAAATCGTTAATATGGAGAAAAGCCACAGTTTTATGAAAATGAAAAGCGCTTGTGGTCTAATTTTTTAATATTTAAAAACTTACTGCAATGTTGCATTACGTGGGTTCATAAAAATGTGCAAAAACTGAGAATTAAGCAATGATTTTGATAATTTTCACCTTGGTGGAAAAATATCGCCAAATCGGCTATTTTTAAAAAAAGTTTAATAACTTTTAGAATATTTAAGTTATTTGTCCGTTGTAAAGCCCAGATAATTCTTCACGGCAAGATGATATATATAGTTTAAAATCATTGCATTGCTTCGAGTGTGAAGCACTTAAACTGTGGTTTTTTTATATATTTTCCTTGGCGACAGAGCTTCGAAAAACTACGTTGTGGAATAGTTATTAGACTGATGACCATTACTATTTATATTACGTTCCTCTCAGTGCATCTATTGTTATGAGGCCAACAAAACTTTGCACAAAGGTTTTGCTGTTACGGAAGTGTTGTTTTCTTAGGAATAAATTCTATCTTTTGTGATTTTTCAGGCAAGCACGAGCCGGGTACAATGATGACAGTGGAAGATCTCTTCTGTCCCATCAGTGGCCGGTTCAGGTTCACGTACTCGGCCAACTTTGGCGAGTTCCAGTGCGAACAACCTTATTCTGAGTTGAGCAATTGCCCCAATGGAAATGGACTTAATGCAAAGTTTAGACAATGCAACTTTCCAGATATGAGTAAGAGTTGTTTATTGTTTTATGTACTCCAAAACTGTCTTTCATAGTTTTAAATATGAAATGGGGAGGAAAAAAATTGATATCGGTCCTCCGTAACGAAATTGATTGATTTCATTTGAAAAATTCTATATAGAGAAAAATTCATTTTAAAGAGATTTTTACAGTAATTTAAATGGCAGTTAATTATTTTTATTTAATGTGAAAAATATTATATATCGATCCTCTGTAACGAAATTGATTGATTTCATTTGAAAAATTCTTTACAGAGAAAAAAGTCTTTTTAAGAGATTTTTATAGTTATTTAAATGGCAGTTAATTTTTTTATTTGATGTGAAAAATATTATAAAATATAAAATTATTAGGAAGAAAATAATAAGCATTATAAAAGGTTTGGAATGAGTCATCTCCTTTTGCGTTGAATTCTATTGTTATGCGATCTCGTTGAAATGAATAATGAGCGTGGTTCCAAAAACAAGAACAAAAGAGAGCGAGTTGGTTGCTGGGAAATTTCAACTTACAAATGTAATTTTCTTCAAAAATGACGGAAATCGAAAAGATAAACATCTGAAATATTTGTTATATGGAGCCAACAATTTCCTTAAATCGAGAACATTTTAAACATAATTTAGCTTTCCGATTGAAAAAAATTATTACGCTGTAATGAGACTTTATAAGAAAAATCTATTTAATACATTTTCTGTTAAACAGCTTTGGTTTAGTGAAGTAGCTCTATTTTCGACTTAGTTTGGTTTAGTGAAATATATGTACGATATTAAATATAGATATATTTATTAAAAATATATAAATAATTAAATTATTTAAAAATAATCTAAAAATTTCTTTTTATTATTATTATTGAAACTATTTTAACAGTAAAAGAAAATATAGTTGCTAGGAAATAATGGCTTTTATTTTTCAAAATTTTATAACAAAGACAACATTGATTGCGATAAAATTTAGAAAAATTATATTTTTATTTTCTTAACTGGTTTATAATATTCTTCCAACAACGCTACGTCTACAGATTTGAGAGGGGATTTATAAGTAGTGGTGCCCATTTCTTAGAAAGTTGAAATTGAATTTTAATTTAAATTTTTATACTTAAAGACAATTCATCTATATTTTACAAAACTAATTTCTAGTAAAGTTTTTTTTTTTTTCAGTTTAGTTGAAAATAATTCATAAGAAACGAGTATTGGTAAAAGTTATATTCTCATGCTTATTTTAAAACACTTTCAATTAGTATACGTATTCGATCACAAAGCTGAGTTCAAAAAGTTATTAAGTATTACACATTTTTTATGCTACATTGGGAATAATTTTGTTCTTATAGTTGGAAACAATCATCCGACTCTTTTATCTTAAATTACGCTCAAAATTCACAAAAAATAATATAAAAAATTAATTAATAAAAAAAGAATCATCTAATTTAATATTTAAAGTTGTTTCTAAAAATAAGTGAAAACGAACCGAATCAAACTAAAGAATAATTAAAACCATTTTTTTTAAAGCTGCAACAAAGATAATTTCATTTTTACTGGTGGCAACAGTCTTTAGACTCTTCCCGCTAGAATTACGCTCATAAACCACAAAAGACCATCTCCTCAGTTAATATGAGTAATCGATCACAAAGTTGCATGTCTCTACATGTACCGTAATTGTGATTACCTCTAAACAATTTACCCTCACTTCCTGCGAGGGGACATCCGATTCAACTTGTTTAGCCGATGGACAACCTGTGTTATGAATCACGACAAAGAAGAAAAGCCTAAAGAGAGTGGACAACACTACACAATCACCGGAAATTATTCCATTTTCAGAAAGTTGTCTCTACAACTACTTATGTTACATTACAAGCTCATATTATTCTACCTTCTAATTGCTGAGAAAATCTCTGCCCATCTCTGTTTTTCGATTTGCCCTTTCATGATCCGATGCAACTCCTGACTAATCTGTCCTCCTTGTTTCCATCGGGAATCAGGGCATCGTAAATCGGCGAATTAAAAATAGAAGTCAAGGATTAGCGAGTAAGATTTCGCTGACAAACGTGGACAGCATAACTTGAGATTAGGTGAACGGGATTCTTTTGAAATGGCGTTCACGTAAATTGGTGATTTGTTTATGATCTTTATTCCAAGTTAAATTTAGAGATCGAGTAATATTTTACTCCCACTTTTAAACCGATACTTGTTTTCCCACAAATTATTCGCCGTTTCATGTTTCATATCGTAGGCGTAATTTTATTTATAAGAACTTTGAAATAGAAAAAAACATACATTTAGTTACAATTTGCGTACGATTTTTTTTCTTTAAATAGAATTTTATGCGGACATATAACTTAATCATTTAGGGAAGAAATTAAATCATACAAAAGTTTACAAGTTATATCTAATCACTTTGTTTTTCTTCTTTAAATAATAGTAATTATAAAAATTCAATTATTTTTCTCCAGCTTTAGTAGCAGACTTTTAGGTTGTAAATTCAACAGGTGTTATTTTTAAGGAACTTGACTAAGGAATATGACTAAAGGGGGGAAAAATCGATTTTTTTTTTTTAGAAAGTGTAAACTAAAATCATTTTTTCATAAAATAAACCTTTAAATCTTGTTTCTGTGTTACTAATTATGCTTATTTGCCTTTTGAAATCTTAGACCGAACTAAATAATATCTATCAAATACATTTAAAGCGTAATTTAGGAAGGGAAGCATCATATTTTTAAAAACATTACGTTAACAATGAATAACCAACCAGAGTGATAAGTAAAATTTAGTTTCATAGTTAAGTTTTCAATAATAGGCAGCAAAAATTTTTTCCTTTTAGTTTCCTTATCTCTAGTAAACCTTAGATTTCAATAATACCCAAAGTAAAAAGCTCTATGGCGTTAAATTGCATGATCTGGGCGACCAATTTTGATCGCCAAAATGCAAAATTTAGCAACCCGGGAATGACTCTCGACATAGCTCAAAAATGAAATCGCTTTGTTCTTTTTAGTTTACAGTTCCATTATTATTAACAATACCCGTGTACAATACCCCCAATATAATTAAAAATAACCCGTGTTTTTTTCCACATGACGAGAAATTAAAACTTTGCTTGCATTTCGTGCTATTCTTTATAAATAATTTAATCACATCTAACAAGCATTTTAAAGTGTACTTAATGTGTTGCATTCCAACACAAAGTTAATGTTTCTTTCTTAAGGGTTTTGTTAAAACGATAATTGTATTTTTGTAAGTATAAATTAAGTCACATTAAATAAATCACTTTTTTCCTCCCTAGGCATCTCTTTTCTGTGTCTAGGAGATTGGGCTGGTAAGAATGGAGACCGATACATTGCCCTAATGGATTTACGAGACGAACCACAGGCTCGTCCTAAATATAGATGTGGGGTAAGTTTTCTGAATTGTTTCACTGAATATATAAACATCCATAGACACATAACTTTCTACTGAAACTAAACATCTGTTCCCGCAATAACAAATTGACTTTTAAAGTCATCATTTAAAGAATATTTCTGTTCTAAACATCAATCACGCGTCGTAAAATTGTATCTGGCTGCTTAGTTAAACAAATAGAACAAATAAAAAAATTATATTAATTTATAACTTTAAAAAAGAAACTTTCAGGAAAATGCAACGCAAAACAATGGTTACTTTTTGAAAATCTTGAGGTATCTTTAATTTAAAAATTGTAAAAGCGTAAGTTTTCTTAAAATCTACTATTACACATAAATTATTATTTTTTTTATGTTAAAAAGTTTTTTCGGTTAATTTTCGAAATACTGTTGTATTAGAATTTTTTTTGAGTGTTTCTTCAGAACTCTTCTCTCCACGGTGTTTGATTGAACGAAATGATATTATTTTACATTTATTAATTTATTTCTCCTAAAAATTCTTTCGAACATTTTTTTTAAAAATTCATTTGTTTCTTGAATTTATTTAATCTTATTTCTTTAAATAAATAAATTCAAAAAGTTTTCGAATTTTTTCATGTCGGACGATTTTAACTATTGGATTTTGATATCAGAAATAAAATTTTTACGTTGCACCGTAACTATGCCAAATAAACTACGAAACCATAAATATCAGTACATTGCACCATAAATCTATACTATAACTCAATATTAATTCATTTTATCACCCCCTTTGAACAATTGTTCTGTATCGGAATCGAGGCACTAAATTCTCTACTCTGCAGCCTCGCAATTTTGAACCCTATAGAGAGGACGAGGGAAATCCCTGATTAAGTCCTTAGACAACATTTTCCTGGAAGACTTTTTTGATAGAACTGACACACGTTTTGGAAAAGAAAACCTCCCGTGGTCAGCCCGATGATTTGAGGATTCTAATTCACGATCCATCTAAAATTGGAAATATTAATTTTATGTCAGACGTGGTCAGTGTACGAATAGGCTATAAGATTTGAACCTGATTGCTACATTGAGAGTGTTCCATGAGTCATCTTGGAACTAACACAATATTATTATAACTAAACTGATTTCTTTCAAAAGCAACATTATTTTTTGAATGATGCAACATTGCCTAATCATTTGTTTATTTTCAGCTCTATCGTAGAGACACTGTAACTGGAAGAGTATATGTCTCCTTAGCATCGGACTCCACTTGCATGAATCAATTGACATCTTCAATGTCAGGCTATGAGTCCTTGGTCCTTAATCCATGTAAGTTTACTCAACTTTGCGTATGAAGAGATAGTTAGAAGAACATATTAAAGGAAATATCAATAAAATTGTAAAAGATAGAAAAATAATATTTTTCACTCAAATTCTGTTATGACATTTTCTTTTTTCCCAGGAAGTGCATTAGTGTCTTCAACATTTTCTTCCACTAAGCTCTTTATGAAGTGTTTTCATATTCCGTCGTAATTTGAAATTATGTTTTTTCGCGAATAATTAGCTATTTTTATAATTGCTGTGAGTTCGCATCTGTTACTCATGGCATGACTGTTAGGTCAAGTTTAGCCTATCTAAAGCCAGCGATGTCTACCGCTTATTTTGAAAATGACGCAAAACGTCACTATGGAGAAATGCCACAGCTTTGTAAAAATAAAAAGCGTTTGTGGTCTAATTTTTTAATATTTACAAACTTACTCCAATGCTGTATTACCTAGGGTCATAAAAATTTCAAAACTGAAAATAAGGCAGTGAATTTGATAATTTTCATCTAGGTGAAAAAATGTCGCCAAATTGAAGATTTTTAAAGAAGTTTAATAACTTTTAAAATGTTTAAGTTATTTATCTTGTAAGGTACTCCAACTATGACTTTTTTTTATTTCCCTTGGCAACAAGAGCTTCGAAATACAGCGTTAATCACATAGTGTCAAAACTGGCCAATAATAAATCTCTAAACAAACACAATAGTGAAACAAAGCTAGGGTTAACTAAGAACACCGTTTCTTTCCCGATGCATTCAAAACGTGCTAACAATCAAACTAGTTACCATTGGGCATAAAAAGTTATTGATTGAAATACCGAATTTTGATAAATCACATAAATTGGTGCATCTGAACTGTTGCATATTATTATTTTGATCTAAGAAAATGATAGGCTGCTTTTAGACCCGTCTTAAAAAGGTCTCTTCAACGTTGAATCGTAATATCGGTACTATGAACGAAAATATAATGCAAAGTTTGCTGCAATTTCAATGAGAAGTTAAATTGACCACAGTATCGCGTAATAAAGTTTAAGAAGTAGTATAGCATAGTAAAACTTAGCAGTATATATGAATAATTTTAACAACTTATTAAAAGTGAAGTAACTTCGCATGAAATTATGGTTCAATTTTACCTACATTTATCCCACATAAAGAAAAAAGCGAATTTCTTCATCAGTTTCAAAAATATGTTTGGTTTCCAAAATTTTTATCAAACTTTAGTATGTGTTGTATACCATTTAACAAATTATTCAAATATCTCTACAATGTCAGGAATTGAACGTGGGGAATCATTTATATCGTTAAAATGTGTTGCGACTTTAAATTCGGTTTTAAGTTACCATATTATCGTACTTCTTAAACTTGTTTACTCCACACTGCGGTTTCTTTTAAAATCTGATTAAGTTGCGCAACAAATTTACTTCAAAGTACCGGTATTAAATTTCATCGTTGAACTGATTTTTCTGTTTGTGTAATGTAAGAGGTAAATCGTGTATGCAAATTTAATTTTTGGATTCTAATTTTTATTTTTGCCCAATTTAGTACCAGATCGAAGTCTTCCGGCTCAAGTGGAGAGTGCACGATGTCGTTTCCCAGAATGGTCTCAAGGACAATGGGAACATCTAGTCATAAACGGCAACTCTTTCCAATTTAAAGATCAAATAATGTTCCAGACTCTTTCTGGCCATTGTATTTTACGGGAGAACACGACTCCCACAGACAGATTTATCGTCTACACAGTAACGCAATGGTAAGTGCCGAATGAATTATTTGTACTATCACATTGAATAGTTTATAGGTGAAAAACATGCTGAGAAAATTAGCTTTAGAATGTCTTGAGTCATAAATGTATTTTTCCTTTTAAAAAATTCCCATATTTGATTCATGGCAGAATAAATTAATGTTAAAATTAACAGTTTCCAAAAAGAAATTTAAAATATCAGCTTTAGAATGTATAAAATCCTGAGTCTTTGAGAAGTTCTTTATTTAAGGCTGTTTTTTCGAAGGCTCTGTCGTAGTATAAAATAATGCTTTTTTGCGAATAATTTGTTATTTTTATAAATGCTGTGAGTTTGCAACAGTTGCTCATTACTGCTGGGTGAAGTTTGGCCTATCTAAAGCCAACAATGTCTATGCTTATTTTGAAAATGGCGCAAAACGTCAATATGAAGAAAGCCACAGTTTTGTGAAATTGAAAAGTGTTTGTGGTCTAATTTTTTAATATTTAGAAACTTACTCCAATGTTACATTACCTGGACTCATAAAAATTTTCAAGAACTGAGAATTAGGCAGTGATTTTGATAATTTCCATTTAGGTGGAAAAAATTTTGACAAATTGGCGATTTTTAAAAATGTTTAATAATTTTTTAAATGTTGTTAAATGTAATTTTTAAAAAGTTATTTCTTCGTTGTAAAGCCCAGGTAATTCTTCACGACGAGATGATATAAGATAGTTTAAAATCATCGCATTGCTTCAAGTGTAAGGCACTTAAACTGTGGCTTTTTTATTTTCCTTGGGGACAGAGATTTGGGAAGGAAAAAAAAAACGTTATGCACTTGGTAGAACAAATTTATACCCTAATTGTTTTAGAATTGTAACTTAACGGGTAAAGAAAAATCAGTCTTAGAATGTATAGAATCATGATAATCTTTTTCGTTTGGAAACTATCTTATTTAAATATTTTGAAAAATAATGACTTGGCATGTTTTCCTTCTAAGCTCATCAACTAACAATTCGCAAGTAATGATAGCTGATCCGTTTTTTTTTTCTCTTTTAAATAGTGGTGAAGAAAGTTACAACTGCATTTGGCTACAAAGAAGAACACCAAATGTTATGGAGTTCCAATTAGGTATGCTTTAATTTATTTTCAATCTACTATGAAATTTATCGTTAAAATATTCTTATTTAATACGAGTTGAGTTGTTCGAAAGTTTCTTAAGTGAAATTTATGCCATTTTCAGGTGTTGAGCCAAGTAATCAATATTCTGAAGACCTTTGTCATGACCGGCAATTCCCATCTGAAGCATGGATTACAGAAGGAAGTAAGTAATCAATTCTAGAATACTTTTCCAAAAATAAACAAAACAAAATTCTTTTTTTTTTCCGCCATGAATTAAAAAGTAAACCGAAAATCGAACCGAAGTGGAAATCGTTTTCATTTCAGTAAATCGCGAATTAAAATTTAGAACTATATAATTATTTGAAATTAAAGTTTTTTAGAGTTTGAAAACCATTTTTTTCTATTTTATGTACAAATATACGTAGTTTTTTTTTTCTTTTTTGTCAATTTCAATTAATTAATAATAATAAATATAAAACTTCATATCCTAAAAGTGTAATTGATGGTTTTTTAAACTAAAGCAAAAATAAAAGTCTATAAATGGACATACGATAGTTTCAGTTCTCAAAACAGAAACCTTCCTCACTGTCATCAAATCAAATGAACGCAAATTCAAAGCGTTAAGAACAACGAGAAGATTAATTTCTATGATAGCGCGAGGGTTTTAGATACTGATATTTTATAGTTTTAAAAAAATTCTTCTTCTGTTTAGTAATTTTGACATTTTTTGCTTTTCTTTTTAGGGTTGATCAAATTGCAGATGTCTCCGTGTCCGATAATGGGTGATTATACCGGAGAAGTACCGGGAACTCATGGATTATGCGCTAAAGTATCGTCTGATTGCAACAATCCTGATATTATGTTCTACACTGTTAGCAATTGTGAAGAAAGAGGCCATGTATATGAAGGTAAGTGATCTTAAAGATTGCTTGAAACTTTAAAGAGTATGCTTTAAATATAAAATTTTGTTAAACAACGACAGCATTGCATATTGTGTTAAATAACAACTTATCAGAACATCGAATCCTTTTCAGTAGAACTTTCGGTGTTTGAGGAAAAAATAAGTTGGTTTTTTTAAAAGACTTAATTTATGCACAATTACATGGCCTGCACAAAAGACCCACGTAAAATTTCATCTAGAAAAAACGGTTTTCTTTCTATGAAATATCCGGATGTTTTTCCTGACGTCCGGCTCTTGTATTAAACTGCATCCGGCTTCGTGCAGGTCAGAAGCCTTGAATCGTTAAAATCAGAGATCATTTACGGTTGGGTTATCTTGACTAAATTTGGATAAATCACGGGACATAAGCATTAAATAAAAGCGAAATTCGCTAAATCTGATGGAAATGGTTTATTTATTTGACATACTTTTTATACGTAACACGTGGATTCGGAAGCAAATTTTCTTTGATGTAATGCTAGGTGAAAACTAAAACAAATAATCATTGCGAAATGATAATTATTTCAGGGCAGTTTATCAACTTTGGTCCCATTTGGTAAAATTTTTGATAGGATGGAATGCTGCAAAAAAAATTTTCTTACAAAAATGTTTGTTAGTCCGTTACTATGGCCATGACAATATAGCGTAACTGAAAACTGATATCTATTAGATGACAAGTCGAATTAGTTGAGCTGGATAAAACGAATCATTAAAGTGATTCGAATCAATAGAATCAGTTCACTTTGAATAACTGATTCGGATCGCCAATTCCAACCAACTGATTCGAATCACTAAGTCGGATCACTGATTCGAAACCTGATACGAATCACTAATTCGGATCACTGATTCTAATCACGATTTCCGATTCTAATCACGATTTCCGATTCAAACCAATGTTTCGAATCGAACCCTATTTCGTACCACTGTTTCGAATCGAATCCTATTTCGTACCACTGTTTCGAATCGAATCCTATAACTGCGGTTTTACTTTACACAACAAAACACGAATTCATAAAATCTCCTTTTTGCTATAAAGATAACATTATTAAAGTCTGGCTGTTTTTTAATAACTACCGCAAATTAAATGCCTTCACGCACCCGGAGAAAAATTTTATATCTTATATTTCAACACCCTTTTATTGTTTTCATAAGGAAATATTAATTTACGAACAGGTTATCGATATTAATAAAATTTTATTTCTACGACAAAAACTTATGCTAGTAAAAATACGCGAAATGAAATTCCACTGACTAAAAAAATTTTTTAGTCATTTTGACATGACTTATGAAAAGACGTAAACAATAATGACGTAATAAAATTTTCTCCAGAGAAGGAATTATGGGTTGGTTTCGTTGTATTTAAAGAAATGCAACTCAAATTATTTTCAAAACATTGAGTGAAATTAACTTTTAGTAGTATTAGAATAAACTAAAAGCTACTTCTTCATACATATATAGAGGATCTTTGTTAATGTTTTGTTTACTAGAATTATAGTTATTTGTTGGATTAACTTTTGCTCATGTGATCGTGAGTATCTAAGTTTGTTAAAGAAAGAAAATTAAATACATTATAAATTGTTTTTTTTTCTTTAAATTAATTTTTCAATGATGATTTATAATAGAGTTTCAACACAATAATAGAGAAAGCGATCTACCCAAAATTAATTTGTTTGACAGATGTATTAATTACATACGGCAAGTGTTGGATAAAAGCGTGGAATAATCTTAAAACAGTCCAGTAATCTAAAGATAAATACTACATTTCTTAGGCTGTTTTTCGAACGCTCCGTCGTCTTATGAAATGATGCTTCTTTGCGAATAATATTCTATTTTTATAACTACTATGAGTTTGTAACAGTTACTGTTACAAACTCATAGACTGTTAGGTCAATTTTAGCCTATTTAAAGCCAGCGCTGTATATGCTTATTTTGAAAATGGCTCAAAACGTCTATATGGAGAAAAACCACAGTTTTATAAAATTAATGAGCGTTTGTGGTCTAATTTTTTTAATATTTAAAAACTACTCCAATGCTAAATTATCTGGCCTCACAAAAATTTGCGAAAACTGAGAATTAGGCAGCGATGTTGATAATTTTCATCTAGGTGGGAAAAAGGCATCAAATTGGCGATTTTCTAAAAAAATTTATAATTTTTAAAATTAAGTTATATTTTCGTTGTAAAGTGAAGATAATTCTTTGCTACAAGATAATATCTACAGTTTAAAATCATCGCATTGTTTCGAGTGTAAAGCACTTAAACTGTGGCTTTTTTTATTTTCTTTGGCGACAGTGCTTCGAAAACAAAGCTAAATGACGAATTCCCTTTTATCACACATTAGAAGAAAACGGCCATTTTCCCAAATAAGGAATGAAAAACTAATTACGAAAAGCACTTTATAACTCATTGTGAGGAAATTGACGAAACAAAACTCAAGCTATGAAAGACTTTGCGACAGTATTACCAAACTTAAGAAAAATAAAATAGCTCATTGTTGGAACTTAGTTCAAAAATAATTAGATAAAACGCCACAAATATTCCATTTCATATCTTCAAAAGGAAAGCTTTAGAATAAATAAAATCGCAATGCTCGTTCCCGGACTCACTCAAACTTTCAAGGTCACGGGGTTGTATGGAAAGTTTTTGAAGACAATGGTCATTTTTTTTAATGAGTGTGTTGGCTTTAATAATGATGCCAAGCGACGCGTGCGAATCACACGTCCCATACCGCACACCCACCTTCGAATGTCATTAATTGTTAGGCTTGGAACAATCGAACATTTTTATTCTTTCGACCGCAGAGCAGGTAAATTTCTTGGAACAAAAGGAAATTCTCTCAGGTTGGATTAGGTCCGATTGCGAAAGTGTTTGGTTTATCTGTTTATTTTCTCAAGCAGAGGAATTTTTACTACCTTGGTTAAGGAATTCTATGCATGATGATCAGAAAGTTTGAAGAAGGTTGTAAAACATCACGCAATGCTTGTTGTCGGAATTTTAACAACTCACTCTCTTTCTTGTTATTTTTTGATATGATTAGTTTTCGGTTGCATAAATTGTCTAAATACGTGATTTATTTTTTTGCATTATGTTTCTTGACTTATACAACACATGATTGATCAATCACAAGAAATAAGGAGATTTTTTTTTATGAATTTTTAAATCATTTTTAATGAGAGTGTAGTTAATGGCAATGTCAGTCAACATGTTAATAACTTCGGATCTCAGATTCTCACACACAAATATGCTGTGTGAATGGTTTGAAGGTAAAACATGTGGCTGATAAATTTGTTTAAACAATATTTTAAGTTACGAAACAACTAACATATCCTTATTTTGAGATATTTGAATCAAAATATGGTCATAATTTAGTCAAGAGATTGGTCGAAAGTTAGGACCCTTAATGTTAATTTCACTTTTAGCGAAGTCCGCCATATCTCTAGCAGAAAATTGAAAAAAAAAATATCAAAAATGTTTTGTTGTTGATTCATATTTTCGATAATCTTGTTAAGAGTGCTTAGTTTGTTAATTGACAGATTCAAGAATTCAACATTTTTTGTCACTTTGGCTCACTAAACATTCCTTTCCTCCTTTGTTTTGCTTTTCTGGGTTGCGTTTTATTTGGAAAATACTGTACAGTACGCAAAATAAAAACCGGACTTCCCTGAATGACTTTTGATCTTATGAACGGATCTTCACGTTTTAGGACTCTAATCTTATAGGTTCCAGGAGGTGACCTCGAATATGCTAATTAATTAGTGCAGATGATATTTTAAGCTAAGAAATCAGCTGAATAAACATCACGCGTTTTCTTTCTTCCCCGACAGATTCGGATTTCTGACCCCCAAAATATAGGGGTTAGCAGCAATCTGGGAAATATGGTCCAAGCAGTTTGGGCAGAAGAGCTCCTCAAAGTTAGGACCCCTTAAAGTTAATTTTATTTTCTGCGTATTTCACCACATCTCGAAAACTTTTTAAATTAATTGAAAAATTTTGGTGAGCAATTATAAAATTCTTTTTTCCCAAGTAAATTCCACGCAGAAAATAACTTTTAGTAAATAATTATTTTATTTAATAATAATCTAAATGTTTTTGAATTGTAAGGCATGGAATTTTTAACATTGTTTTAAAGAATACAATTTTACATTGCAAAATATAAAATTTTAGTTGAATCGGTCGAAGAAATAGAATTTTAAAAATACGGCTCTTGAAAAATTGAATTTTAAAAATACGGCTCTTGAAAAATAGAATTTTAAAAATACGGCTCTTGAGAAATAGAATTTTAAAAATACGGCTCTTGAGAAATAGAATTTTAAAAATACAGCTCCTGAGAAATAGAATTTTAAAAATACGGCTCTTGAAAAATAGAATTTTAAAAATACGGCTCTGGAGAAATAGAATTTTAAAAATACGGTTCCTGAGAAATAGAATTTTAAAAATACGGCTCTTGAGAAATTGAATTTTAAAAATATGGCTTTTACTAAAATTCAAAATTATAATTCTAATAGACAATTAAGGAAAACCACAAACAAAAAAAATTTTTTGTAACATTTAAGCGACCCTCAAAAATGTTGGGTCCCTAAGCCTATCTTAGATAATAAATCACCCACTGGAAGTAATCAATACGAAACCTGGAAACAAACATCTGAGATTTTACGTCTTTATGTACTATTTTCTTATTAACAACGATTATTTTACGATTCACTATTATTTTCTAAATTTAGAATTTTTTTTTATTTAGAAAGAGAATATAGATGTCTGGGAAGTTGGGAAGAAGACGGAATCCTATTCACTTACACTCAAAGAAGAGACATGGATGGATTTCAGTGCTTTGTAAGTCAACAATGTATTTTAAAGATAAAATCCAACAGATGCCAAGAATTTTATGAGATTAATTTTAAAAATTATTTTCTAGTCTGGGAAAGTGTTGAGAAATGGCGAAGAGGCTTTTATCAAGGAAGCTGGAGATAGTTGCATCCGAGGGGAAGATCCTCTTATTTATGGAATGAAAATAGCTAAGCAATGTAAGTATAGTTTTATTATGTATTCTGAGCATTTTGCTTACAGAGTTTTTACTATTTGGTTTTTCATACCACCATCATGAACACAATGATTGGAACATATATAAGGTGTGTAATGAGTGCCATTAAAATATATTTCTAGAATCTAAAAATGCAGTTAAAAATATATTGACACATGTAGTTGCAAGCTGATAGAAGTAAGACGAAGCAAAAATGTTATCAAAATATGACCAATTATTAAAATCACCAAGAGCAGAGGAAAGATTAAAATAATCAAAAATAAGTTTAGTAGGAACCATGGAATTTCATTATAAATTCGATGTTAAAAATCGATTCGAAATTAGTGGTTTCGAGTTTTATTAGGATCCACTTTTCAGCAACATTTTTTTCCTAAACTAGTATTTTATAACCAACGTTGAACAACCAATTCCGAGTTTACGACTATCAATGTTTAATTCTGCAACTTTGTATCTAACCCAGAAGACGAGGGAACTCCTCGATCAAGCATTAGGACAAACTAGTTTTCGTGGAGGATTTTTTGATGGAACTAACCTGCATTTGCTTTACATGGTGAGAAAAACTTTCGACAGTTAGCCGGATGGAAAAGGGATTCTAACCCATGATCCGTCTACCACTGTGATATTTTATGTCAGCACTATGGTTGCAGAAGCTAGGAGCCGAATTTGTACCAACAAGCCATCACTTGGATTTGAACCTGGACCACCTCATTGGGAGGCAAAGGCTTTTTCCGCTGAACCAACGCGGCGGCTCCCCTCTGCTTTTATAGATTTTGAAAAGATAATTAGTTCAATATTAGATTATTGGTTAAAGTATGATACTGTTTCGGTTTTTGTTACTAACTTAGATATAAATTTGAGGCTTCGACCATACTCCATCAGAATTTAAACCTGGGTCTCCTCATTGGAAGACAAGTGCTAAATCTCCCGAATTATTCTGGCACACTAGTTCATTTTGAAAAAAAATTTGATTTGTAGGCATATTTTTGGATAGTTAGTACAGCTTACCTGCATTATACTAAATTTTTTAACTTTTCTTACAGCATCATGCCCTCAACTTGCTCCAGCTAATTTTGTTCCAATGAGGCCTCCATGGAAACCTATGACGTATGCTCCTCCATCTTTACCTACCAGAGTGCCTATACCACCCATACACCCTGCACAGCAACCTAGGGATCCTTACTGGTATAACACTGCAACAGAAGCACCTACAACCAAACCTTGGAAACCTATTACAGGTAAATTTTATGTCATACTAAAACTTCTATGGTATTTATGCTTTAAAATTGGAGTCTTTAACGTACATCCTGCTGAATTGACTCACTCAGCTTAAAACAATAGTTGAATAAGAAAATAAAAAAGCCTGTAGAATGTTTATTTCGGATGGTAAAATTAGTGGTTGCTTTTAAAAAAAATTAATATATTAGTTTGTTTGGTATTTTATTAAGGGCAAAATAATTTAATATTTAACAGGCTAATTTTTCACAGAAAAACAAAACGTAAAACAGAACACGTTCTTCAGATTAGCATTTAAGGAATAATTTGAGAATTGCAGCTGCTAATATTTCATATGATAATAATGCTTTGATTGAACAAAAATAAATCACATTAAGACTGAAATGACATTCATCCCTTTTGTAATGTAGTTTTTTTTTACATCGTGTATGGAATATTAGTATAATCGTTTTCTTTTTAATACTTAAGAGAGTTGCAAAAATGTATAAAATGAATCCCAGTTTTTTCTCCCTAAATTTTATCTCTTAGCCTGAATTATATAGCATCAGAGATATATCATTTATCAGATTTATTAACGAGGCCTTTGGATGCAAAAGGTGGAAGATTTCTACTTTAAAGTAATACTTGTACCTGTTGAATCAAAATATTTTAGATAAAATACTGCTATAAATGAGGGTCTAGTCAGTGTTGGTATCCTTACATTGACCAAACAATTATAATTTAAAACATGAAGGATGCTAAACACTCTTCCATCTTTAAACAAGCTTTCATCCTAAAAAGATAATAAAAATGAAATAATGTATTTAATAACTTTTCTACTAAGTGGAAATCTCATCATCTTCTAAGTATAGTAATAAAACAATGCTGCATATCAGACCCTTCCAACTAAAAACATTTTTTATTGTAAATAATTTCATGGCAGATCTATTTTGGGAAAACCAATTTATAGCAAGAAATCAAAACAAAGCTCTCTAAATTGTTCATAGAATTATTCAGGGGTGATTGTGAGTCCAAGTCAAAATTCCGGAAAATTTCCTGAATTTGAGAAAAAAAACAAAACAAAAAAACAGTTTAAATTGAAAAAAATTTAAACAAGGTTTTTTTTTCTTCCTTTTTCTCAATATTTCTTAGTTTACTAAAAGTATATTTAAAATTTTACACATACTTATACCATTTACACATACCTATGATAACCTGGAGAAGCAATTAAAATTTACAAATATGTCTCTTTTTCTTTAGTTTATGATTATAACAACTATTTAGTGATAAAAAAATGAATATTAATCTTGAATATAAGCTTAAAAAGTATCTCTGTGGCTCTCCCTTACAAACAAATTAAATAAACTGTGTTTTTAAGTTCCACCTTTAAAAATTCGATTTCTGGAAACTTAAGTAATCAATGTTTTTTTGAAACGTCTGGACTTTCGATCTCCGGAAACTTCCGGATCACTGTTAGCGAAAAATCCGGAAATCAGGATTTTTTCCGGAGCACAATCAGCCCTGATTATTATAAATAAATTACATGACTTTTATTTATTATTATACATTATTTATTATTAATTACTTGATATTTAATGATGTTTTAAAAAAATCCTAAAATATAAAAGACTTAATATTTTTTTTAAATTTCAGGTCGTCCACGTCCTGATCCTGCAAGTGCATCAACTAGATCACTTCTAAATAATGTTCTACCTCTAACAACACTCTTCCTGCTGTTGATTTTTGTTCGGTGGCACCGATAAAATTTTATTCCTAAAAACAATTTATATTCATACAAAGCGATTGTGATTTAGCTGGACTAAAGACAAACCGCCTTTTCCTACTTTAAGATGGTTAAACGTGAACAGTTTGATTTAACGTTACTGTGACTAATTTTCTTTTTTTTTAAAAAAAAAATTCAGCAGCTGACCACGGGTGAGAATAAATTGGCGAGATGATTCTTCTAACACAGAATATTTGTGAAAGAGTGATTTGCAAACTTATTATTTGCTTAAAAAAAGAAGAAGGAAAAAAAAAAGGGAAAATGTTAAGTTACAGAATAAGTCAGAAAGCGGGCAAAATTTAATGAGCTAAAATGATCAAAAGTTTTATTTTGAACACTTTGGACTTCCTCGACTGTTGACACAAAATCTTCATTTCTTTGCAACAAAAGAAGATAATTACATTAAGATGTTTTTGCAATAATTACATTTTTGCAATATTCAAATATTTGCTACTGGAGTAGAATTATTTTGAATTATCTCAATCATACAAAATAACTTTGTATTTATCTTAAACATCGCATTTGTAAAAATATTGTAAAATAATTCAATTTTAACTTTGTTGTGATATTGTATTTTATTTCAGTCACTGAAACTTAGCAGTTTTTTAAACACTGCAAATTTAAAGTCATATATATACAAATATAAATAAATAAAAAAATCTTTTATAATAAAAACTGCAAAAAAATATTTATTTTCAAATGTATGATTTTTTTTTTTAAATATCTGTTGGCTTATACTATTTTTAGGAAACTATATTCAGAACAATGAATTTTTTTCTTGGGTATTTTAATGACTTTACATGCAAATTTAAACAGTGGAAAATTTTGATAACATTTAAAATGAAAGTAAAATATATATAGGTTACAATTTGCATTTTATTGTAATTTGATTTGTAATAAATGTAACTTGATAATCAGTTAAAAATTTAGTTATTAATTATTACTGTAGAATAAGTGAATAAATCTATCATCATAAAATAATACATAGCTCTAGAAGCTAATGATAAGATTCAAAATTTTTTAAGACTCAGTAAGTTAAAAAAAAAAAATACTAATAAATTTGAGTTTAAAAGAAATTTATCAATTTTTCAACGACATTGAACAAATTGATTTAAAAAATAATAAAAGCATTCATTTTTTGTAATTTAAAGAAAAACTTTTAATGACATATTTTATATTTTGAACTGTACATTTTGTGTTTATCGGTTTTTTAACAATTATAAAACTCAGTTACTCAGAGATATGTTTTATACTAATTTTGCATAATAATGGTTTAAACAAATGTTTTTTTTTATCACCTTTATAATAAAATATAATCAAAACCTTTATGATAATACTAAATTTAAATGTCTGAAATCGATGCAGATTAATACATATTAAATTTTTCAAATTATGGTACCAACTCAAAAGTATAAATGTTTGATGCAAAAAAACTAACGTGAATGGTAAAATAAAAAATTTAATCTTTGTTAGATTAAAATTTTTAGTTCTGCTATAATTACAGTACTTCTGTTTCTTTATACTAAATTATTTTTTTAAGGTTAGCATTGTTAATTTCAGAAAACAATTTTCATGTCCAAATGTATAACTGCATATTTTTTTAACCAGATAAAATTTTTTAATATCTTGAATTGATGAAAGCTACTTATAGTGATATATAACAGTTCAATTTTATTACTGATAGTAGATGATAATAGATGCCTAAAAGTATTGTAAGCCAAAATCAATGTATATAAATTTATAAAAAGTCAGCCGTAAACCAAAGAATGTAGTATAACTAATTCAAACAATTGACCTATATATATTTATTTATTGATGCATGTGGGCATTTTTAATCTTTGTAAAAAGACATTAAGATTTGTTCAAGAAAAATCAGTAGTTTTTGACTTTTATGTATGTAATGCGGGTACACTTATAGACTGATATTACTAATGCTTAGTATTAGCCAGCTTAATACTGTAAATTTAAAACAAATTATTGTGCTTATATTTGTTCCTATGATCATGGACTAGCATTCATATTATATATATGTGTGAATGAATATAACTGCTGTGAAAATATGTATATACTGAGTTTTGAATGTTGTGAAAAATAGATCAATATTTAATACTACTTAGTCATTAGTAGATAAGTCACTTAATTATAAAATTTACTATATTAAATGCGACAAAAAATATTAAGACATAATTAAAATTAAACTAATTTAAAATTATGCTTAGAATTATTATTAAACCTACAATAATATGAAGGTGTAAAGATAGCAATAAAATAACCTTTTTAACTCATTATTGAAAACAAAAACCATAAAATAAAATTCAGTTTAAAAAATTAATACAATTTATAAAATTTTCAGGAACCATTGTATTACAGTTAATGAAAAAGAATTTGTACACATACTACAGTCTAATTTTATGTTTTCAAAATTAACTTTACTTTAACCTTGTTTAAAAAATGAACTATATTTTTGAAACACATAATCTCTGTACATTTTAAGAGTTTTTTTTTTTTAATAAGTGGAACCAATCATATAGTTTTTTCTATTTTCTTAAAATCTAAAGTAACTTACCCTAAATGTTTAATCTGTTCTTCCACTTGGATTTTCAAAGAGTCAAATATTTTGAAAATAGTAAAGTGTTTTAGTTTAGGAATAATGTAATATATAGTGTGTTTAATGTTTGCTGAAGTTCAAAACTAGTCCACTACTTAGATATTTTCCTGTGATAGAAATGTATGAAAAATGTGTGTGTACTCTTTTCATACGGTATCATATTTCATGTGAAATGTGTATCACTCTCAAATCAAAGACGTTCGCAATTGGCGAAAAACTTGTTTGTTCATTTTGAAATGTACCAACATTGTATAAATATATGTGAAATGTAAAATATTACTTTATATGTGAATAAAACTTTTTTTTATTGAAACTCTTAAGATCATTGTTTTCACTTCAGCATACACTTTGAATTAAAATGAAATTAGTTAAAAATAACATGAAATTTTTTAGTAATATATTTTTACTGATAATTATGCATTTCATTTATTGGCAGTAGATTTCATTTTATAAACTGTCAGTAAAAAAAGAGTATTTTCATAATCATGTTCTTAGTCACAAAAATTTGCAAAACCACGCAGAAAAATTTATTATTTTGTGGCTTTAATAAAATGCTAATAATTATTATTATATCAATGAGATTTTAGAATATGACAAACAATCTGTAAGTAGTAGATATAGATTAATTAGGAAAATTTCTTTCTTAGCATTTAATATGGCACTTGTAATAAATTAATTTACTTTTAGTCATTATTTTCCAATTTGTCAATTACTAAACCTTGAAGTATGATAACTTGATTTTTTTCAATGAGGTCCTGATCTATGTTCAATTTTATGCTAATTATTCTTGATTTTAATTTTTTTTAAATGTTTTTTTAATGAAAATGACTGGGCCATTTGCAGCTTAAAAAAGCAAATAATTAAAAAATTTATAAAAATAAAGGAAATTGGGGTAAGATATTGTTATGCTCTGGAAATCTTGCCCATTGTTTTGCAATCTATTCACAATGAAGGGAGTAAAAAGTACATTTGACTAAAAATAGTAAAATGATGAACCTAATACTAATTAACAACATTAAAACGATGCAACCAAGCAAATATAAATATAGGCAATAAAACAATTTATTTTTACAAAATTTACAAAGTTTTTCTCAGTAAATACATTTGTTGTAAATGCAATAAATACCTATTGTTTATGGTACAGTCTCATAACATGACATGTGAAGTTTAGATATAACAAGAAATGTTGGATATTCTATAATTTTCTTATACTTGAAATTGGACTTCAAGCTTTTATTTAGTTCCAGAATATGGTACCTGTAAAACAAAGGACAAAATATATAAAAAAAAGAATAAATAAAATTAAATAAATATAATTAATTAATAAAAAAATAACCGAGTTTGGAATATTTTTGTCCTTATATATACATTCCTTAGTACATAAAAACTTAGAATTTAAATTTTCACCCCTTAAAAATGTCTTTCAGCTTTCTAGTTTTAAGCAATTAGCACATTACAGTGTTACAACAGTTAATAACTACAAAATGTATATTTTATACACAAAGTAGAAAATTATTGTAAAATGCTAACTTCATAGAATAGTTTGATTAAATATATTTCCAATTTCAAATATTTCATAAAAATATTTTTTTGGGGTAAATATTATCTTAAAATAATAGTAATAGCTTGTAAATTATGGAAACTTTAAAAGTTAATTTCTGGTTATTTTTCATAAAAAAAATTTGAAGGTATAATACAATTAAATATAAGATATTTATTTTTAACATTATGTTGGGAAAAAAAACAATATTGAAACAATCATGAAATAAGAGGATTTTAATAATAGTACATTTCACAAAAATTATATTTATTCTTATTATATATTGGGGGAGTATGTGTAAATAACTTATAAGAACTAGAATTTTTTTTAATTTACTTATAACCAGACAAAAATGTAATTCCTCTAAATAAATATATAACTTTATTTTTTTAAAAAACAAATTCAGATTCTTGATCCTCTTGCATATTTTTGCCATAACTTGAGAATTTTTTAAATTAATGGGAAAATATTTGCACACAATCATGAAATTCATTTATCCAAAAATAACTTTATGCAAAAATAATTTTAAATTGTAAAGTATAAGAATGTAAATTTAAACTGCAAAATAAAAAATTCGAATGAAATCAGTTGAACAGTTTGAAACCAAACTTGAGACACCAAATTTTAAATACACAACTTTTTTGAAACTATTATTTAGGGTGTTCACCCTTTTTTTCACACCTTACACAAATAATAGATCATGAATAACTAATTTGCAGCAAGACAACTGTGATTTATATTTCTTTCCTAACTTGGACATACTATTAAAATATCTCCCTAGTAAGATATGCAACTTTCTTATGAGAAACATATAATTTGTATTTGCTGGTTAAATAAAAAAACAAAAATTGATTTGATCTAGATCAAATTTGTAGCTTTCTTCTAAGCAAAAGCAATCAGCATCTGCTATTTTAAATTGCACGAAGTAAAAAGAATGCATACTAACTAGAAAAAAATATTTAACTATATTAACCAACCACAGGGGGAGACAATAATAACTTACATATTTTTTCTGATAAGGAGGTATATGGGTTTAAGAAAAATCTGAAATATGCTTTTTCATAACAGAACATTCGTGCATAAAGGTACAAAATTTTTTGCAAATGATTTAAATTTTAGTTAGTGTCATTTTCTTGGTGTGGAAATGTCACTACTGTTGCCGCCATGAAAAGATAAATTTACCAATAAAATTAAGCATCTATAAAAATGATCCATCTGATATAATTATGAGTAAAAATATTTATCAATAATGAATGATAAAGCTATTTTGCATCTAAGTTTGCATTTAATTTTATACCATAAACACTAGTTGTATACATACTCTAATTAGCTTTAAAAGATGAGAAGTTTCTTTGTTTGAGATGCTTGCTTTTTTTAAAATAACTTCCCTTGATAGCATTGTCGCTAGTGCACTCAATTGCAACTTGAGTTTGTAGTGTCAAAAAGAGCTCTCCTGAGTGCACAGCCAAATTATTCAACAAAAAATAAGCACTTTTTAAGCACTCAAAAGATATTTTTAAGCACTTTAAAAAAGCATAATTGGGCAGAGTTGGAAAATTTTTGACAATTGACGGTTTTATCTCGTTTCAACCATCATGTCAAAAAAAAAAACTTTTGACATTGTTTTTGACAAGTGTTAAAAATCATGAAGTTTTGAATAATATAAAACGAATGACGTTTTCATACGCTGCTGACTGACAATACACCGAAATAGATTGGGGTTGAATGAATTGCGAAAACGTTGAAATAGAAAAATGTGAACTGCATAATTCGCAACTAAAATCAACATGGTAAAGGAAAAATCTCATTTTGAAAAAGGGAAAATTAAGCACTTTTAAAAAACACCCAATGAAAAAAGCACCTTAAAGGGCTTTTAAAAAAACAAAAATAAGCACCTTTAAGACACTTTTAAAAACGCTACGCACCCTGGATCTCTAAATAAGAGCCGCACACAGATATTTCAAATTTATTCTGCTTATTTATTTTGTTAAATTTTTTGTTTTGATATTTTTTTATTTTTCCTTATTTGATCTTCTCGGTATTTGGTGCAGATGTTTGCATGGTCACTGGGACAGGTTTTAATGGTTTTTCCGAAAGGTTTTCTTCAACACAAAGTCTATGGAAAAATTCTGTACCTCTTAAAAGTGGTTGCTACACGGAGGTGGTCTTTCCTGCAGGTTTCACTGTATATCTTTTTTAACACTGTAAAAAGATTATCAACTTTTTTTAAAATGTACAAAGATCCTTATCTCATTAATCTTTTTCTCAGTTTGGAAGTGCAAGAAGATTGCACAGCAGATTTTTGTACAAATATACAAAAGTGATTTCATAGTAACAGTTAAAGGGCTAATGGTTAGATCATAATTATTACTTACTGATCCATTTTTGAAGGGCTATTTCCATCCTTCATTAAAATAGCTATTTCTGAAAATTTTAATGAATGGTAATAAGAAAGTTTCTCATTTGAATGCTCTGATTTTTCATTGATGTACTTATCAACACAACTTCCAAGGATTTCATCTTCATCAACTCTAAAAAATAGAAATGTTAAACGTTAATTTATTATAAATAAAAACTTAGTTACATCTTATTATTACATGTAATATCGCAGATTTGAAATAAACAATCACATATTAGCATATAAAAAATAATGATTTGAAAATCAGTTAAATTTTACACTAATTTGTCCAAAACATAAAAATAGATAATTAATTAATAAAAAAGAATAAATTTATTGACCTCTCTCTTTTAGTAAATTTTTTATTACTCTTATTCATGAAGCAGAAAGCAAGAAAATTTTTTATACTTAAAAAGAACATAAAAAGAAAGCAAAAACATAACAATGAAAATCTTATCAATTCATTTCAATATTGCAATTATAAATCTGAATGTTAAAAAGTAATTTATGATAATATGACATAGAAAAAAAAGTTGTACATAAATAAATTTTGATTTTTTTTCTTCTTATATTGCATATTGATTTTTTAATAAATTTACTGACATGTTTTATTATTTTTTTAAACATGTTTTTCTAGAATAATTTTGAAAAATTGTTTGCAAAACTGCAGTTAAAATAATTAACAATTATTATTATACAACAACTAAAAAACAATTTATTGTGTCATTTAAAAAATTAAGGAAATAAAAATTATCTAATACTTTTTTGATTTTAGCTTGTTTTTCAGTATTTAATAATAAAATATTTTAATTCAATTTTTATGAAATATATATGCAAATGCATAATTCAAATATGCATTAATATTAAACATTTTATTATTTAGTACAACATTTTCAAAAACATTGTCATCATTTTTTTGTAATATTTACATTTTTTCTTAAAAACTTATTAAAGATATTTTCAATTTTTCAATACAATTTTAAATCTGTTAACTTTTAATTGAAAAAAAAACCCATAATTTTGCTTATCACTGTAACTTATACCAACTGCATTTGTTTAAAATCAAATCTTAAATAACTCTCAGACCAACTAATGTGCTTAAACTTAGCCTTAATTTTACTTCTTTTCTCCAATTTAACAGCCCTTAATGAATTTTTCTCTTCTCTTATAAACAAAGAAGACTTGTTCCACAAAAACTTGAACATGAGAGCATGTGAGGATTGCCATTACAAGTTAAAATAACTATAATATAATATATGCTAACAATTTCATTATATTTTTTTCAGATCAAAAGCACTGTTCCAATATTTTTATCAATGGCAATATTTTCAGTTTCTCCGAGAAACATCAAGTTATTAGTTAATGAAATTGCCCCTATTGTGTGTAGTAGTAATGTAAAAAAAAAAAAAAAAAAAAANAAAAAAAAAAAAAAAAAAAAAAAAAAAAAAAAAAAAAAAAAAAAAAAAAAAAAACAGTAGTTGGTAATGTAAAAAAAAATTATAATATAGAATAATTTTTAAATATATAGGAGGCGTTTTTAACTATTTATAAAAAGACTTATAAAGTGAAACCTCTTGGGAGTGACCACTCTCTGTTCCACAGTAAAATGATCATTAATGGAGTTTGGTTGTTTTTAGGGGTTATTTCCATTGACTTCAAAATGTTATCAAAGGTACATGATTTTTCTCAAATGATTTTAATTTAAATCAGAGTAATTTTCTTGGTGCAAAAATGCCACTTGTATTGGCATTATGAAAATCAGATCAATGATTAAAATTTAGCGTAACAGAAATGATACCTATCAATAAAATTATGTCTAAATATAAATTTATCAATTATCAATGATAGAACTATTTAATAAATCTCTGTTAAAATAAAAAATTATGTTTTTTGTTTCAGTATGTATTTAATTTTATACCAAAAAGATTTACAAGATGCATGTTTGAAATACTTAGTTTTTTACAAAATAACTTTTTTTTAAAAATTTAACTTTCAACTCTAAAAATAAATCATTGCTAGCATAATCTTAATGCACTTCTACTGCAACATGAGGTTGCAGATCTCTTACAGAGAGCGTCAAAAAAGAACTCTCCAAATAAAAGCACATTTTAATCTACTTATTTGTTTGAAAATATTTTTTGTTTTGATATTTTTCGTGTTTCATTATTTCATCTTTTCTGTATTTGGGGGAGATGTTTTAATAGTCTATCCTATAGGTTTTCTTCAACACTAAATCTATGGAAAAAATTCCGTACCTCCAAAAAGTGGTCTTAAATAGAGGAGGTCACCACATAAACGTGGTCTTTCCTGGAGGTTTCACTGTGCGTATATATTTATATAAAGACATCTATATTTTATAAGGCCACCAGTCCTATAATGATGCTTAATCAGTTTTGGTAATAGGTACTAACTGAAATAATATAAGCTGTATACAAAAAAGCAGAATTATTGGAGAAATGGTACTAATTCAATTAGGAAAAAAAGTAAAAAATTTAAACCATTTTGGGCACCAATGATGCTCAATTAGTTTTGGTTATAAGTATTAATCAAAATAAAAAAGTAAACATTAAAAAGCCAAATTATTTGTACTAATTTGTTTAGGAGAAAATTAAAAATTCTACATACAATTTTTTGATGCCAATGATGCTTAATAATTTTGGTAATAAGTACTAATAGAAATAAAAAAGTAAGCTATGTACAAAAAAAGCAAAAATTAATAGAGAAATGGTACTGGTTCAGTTAGGAGAAATTGCCATGCTATTATTGTCACCAATGATGCTTAATTTTGGCATGGTAATTGGAGCAGATTTGATAGGTACCAAGTATACTAATTTAGGTATAAACCATTTTATGAGTAAAATTAGTACCCATTAAAACAGTGTAAAGACTATGCAATTTTATTTTAGATACTGTGGAAATGGGTTTTTATGATCACTCCAAGATATAAGCAGAGGATAAAATTGCTTGATTGCGGTACATTAAAAAAAAAAATTTTTTTTTAAGGGCAGACACTGAACTTATCACTCTTCTCTATGGAAGGTGCTGGAAGTGCTCATTTCACATTAGTACCTGATGAGCACCTTGACACCAAAGTTATGGAGGCGAGCAACATTACCTACACACTGCAACAGATATCTGTTCATAGGGTGGACCACATTCACACATAACAGAGGACAGCGCAGAGAGAAAAACACCTAGGCTCTAAGAAGGATTTGAATCTACAGCCGTTGGCTTCACAGTCAGGCACGCTAACCTCTCGGCCACCTGGCCAACATTTTAAATATCATGAGTTGGCCTAGAGCAGCAGCATTAAGACAGATGATACTGAATACAGTTAAACTTTATTTTAAAGGAATGAACTACTAAAAATGTGTTCTGTTGAATCTAATAACGTAAAGCCACAGGAGCAACAGACAGTAACAAAAAAAACATTGGGATTATTTTAGTTTTATTAATTGTATGTTTTTGTCATTTATTGTTGATTTATTTATTGATTGTTTACCTTTTTCAGCCTGTACGGAGAATGGGAGAAACTATAATAGACCAACCACATAGCAGATGGTAGAAAAATAAATAGATAAACAGTTACCTCGATGCACATTGTAATAAAAACCTAACAAAAACATACAGAAATTCAATGCGTTTTGCAGATAAAAAAAATTTAATTTGTACTACTAACTCTGTTAAATGTTAAGAAAAGTAATAAAATCAAAAGAAATTACCTTTCATCAACACATGAAAATTCAACATGAGGAAATTCCCATTCAACTCTCCAGAAGATTTTTTTGTCACTGAGAATAAAGATTAATAACCATCAAATCACCACATAAATAATAATAAAAGTAATAATTTGCTGATAAAAATTTGCTTTAAGTAAAAATGATAATACATGTTAAGACAAAAAGACATTGAAAAAGATTTTAAACAACATTTTGAATGAAATATATTGATTCGAAATGAACAAAAAAAAGTGTAAGACTTAGTATATATATATAATTAAATAATACATATATTGTGTTCATACCTTTCTTACAAGGGCGCCGGCAGCGGGGTGCAAGGGGGTGCACTTGCACCCCCCTGCCTTTTTTTAAACAATTAAAGAGATACAGAAAAAAAATTTGTAATAAATTTTTTTATTAAACATATTTTTATTGAAAAACAAATAATTTAGTAATTATTGATGCATAACAATTAAAAAATTATTTAATCAAATAAGAACTGTAATCGTCTTGTTTGCTGTCCAAATCAGTTTATAACTTTTTCAATGAGTCATCTTTGATTCTTTTCTTATGCACACTGAGCATGCACAAACTTGATAGATATCTAAGCTATATTTTTAAATTTCATTTCATAAAATATAAGAAATATTATATTTTCTATTAGTTATTTAGTTTAACAAAGGTGTATAACACAAACTGACTTCTCACAACTGTGAAACTTCATCAACACAATAAATACCAATGTTAATCGTGCGCAAACACATTAGTATACGAAACTACTGTTTGTAGTTATTTTTGTTTCAAAGTCAGTAGCTATACCAACGCCATCAATGCAGTTTCTCGTGGCAAAATTTGCAAGTACACGAAATTCGTACTTTTTTGAAAAATATCTTGTTAACAATGAAGAAATGTATATTGAAAAAATTAAAAAATGAAAGTATATGTAATAACAAAACAAAATGTAATAACAGAATATTTAAAAAATAATAAATTTTTTTGGAGGGGGGGGGGGTAGTTTGTTAGAGAGTTGCACCCCCTTTTATATTATTCTGCCGGTGCCCTTGCTCTCTTATAAAACTATAAAGATTATGAATATAGGTAGCGTCTAACCCTATCTTGTGCTAAGGAATTGTTAAGCATTTACAAGTTTTTGATTGTTTTGAAACTGATTTTTTTTTTGAGCTATGCTCGTTATATTTGGTATAGAATTGTTGTTTCTTGTAAAATTTAAATGTTTTCGTTTTGTTAAACTTTGTTATGTTTACTCTTAAATGTTGTTTTGATGCTTTTAGTATTTATAATAAATTTTTTCAATTAAGATGCCAAATAGGGTAGCTGTTTTTACGTTTTCTATTTGCTACTACTTGTCCTATTAGTTTCAAGAAATGAAAACAATATATTAAAAGAAATAGTCTTAGTTACATTACTGGGCTTATAAACAGCATAATTACAATAAAAAGTAAGCAAAAGTGTTTTCAAGTAATGTTATCATCAATTAATGAAGCTGTTTCTGTTTCCTATTTGCGACTACCAGCCCTATTAGTTTTAAGAAATAAAAACAATATATTTTAATAAAATATTCCTATTTAAATTTGTAGGCTTAGAAGCAGCATAATTACAATAAAATCAAGCAATGTGTTTTCAATTGATGCTTTATAAAAACGAATTTTTTCCTTATTTTCTACATACAAGAAAAAAAATTTTACACGTGTAAACTCTTTTTTTTAAAACTAAATGCTGAGAAAAAATTCTTTTTTATCAAAAATAAAGTAAATTTTTTTAAATTTTATTTATGCTATATTAAGAAATTTTTTTTGCCCAAAATCTTCATGCTCACGAAATATTTTGTAATTTCTACACTCATACACATAACTCTAAGATAAAAACTTTTCCTTCAAAAACATTTTAATATAAAATATCTAGTTTTAAAGGCAGACATATTAATCATTATATAGATTGCTTCAAAATAACAGGACAAAAATTAAAGAGCTAAACAGGAATAGAAATTAAAAAGGGGGACAGACAGAAGGATAACACAACATAAGTTTAACATGCATGGGAAATGTACAAAACTTATTCTACACTGTATTTCCACACGTTATAAATAATACAGGAGAAAAAAAATGCTTAAAATTATGGCCCAGAAGCCTAGAGACAAACATTGTTGTTATGATGGACCTTTTCTAATATTGGAACATAAAGTTTAGCTGCTTCCGATAGCTTTTACTACTCTATGTTATGGGATTTTTGATCTTTCCTTTTTAATGCCTTCGTTGCTCCTATGTTTCGGCCATATCATTTTGAAGATGGTATTTATTACACAATAAATTATGATATTTATAAACAATTTAGTAAGAAAAAGAGGGCCTTTAGAAATATGAAGTAAAAGTTCTTGTAAAATTTTAATTTCACATCATTTTTAAACATGGTTTCCACTCAATAAGAGAAAAAAAAATAATTCCTCGACTTTTCCAGGTATATCACAAAAATTTTGAAGAAAATCCACAGCATATTTTAGGCCACAGCTATGCAATTTTTCATTAAAAGACTGATTTTTTACTTGTAATGACAAATATTAGATTTTGTAAGCAAAAAAATATCATTGAATGAGGATTGAAGCATGGAGATTTTACTAAAATGCAAAACTTAGAATTATTTAACTCAAATCTCAAAATCTGGTTACTGTTACTGATGTTTCTGATACAGGTTATTTCCTATGTATGATGTAGGAATTTTACTGGTTGTTGCAAAAAACTGAAACTTTTTCGGTTTTTTAGAGTCAAAATAAAATTTCCTGACAATTTCAGGCTTTCCCTGACCTGTGAGTTTCCCTGACCTGAAATGTTATCAAGTTTTCAAATTATGCATTAAAATTCAACCACCAACACTAAAACAAATGCATGTTAAATAAACAACCAATGAACAATGAATTTCTTTAATATAAAAAAATAAACTAGTTGAATTGAAGTAAAACAGAATTTAAATAATATATGTATGTTTACATCTTTTAAAAATATACCTACCCATATCTAAGATACGTAGTGTTGCGTGCTCGCTTGGAAAATGCCACAGGTAATATTTGCAAATCTGTTTTGCGCAATCTTGCAACCAATTGCAATTTAAATAAATGCTGAAAGAAGAGAAGAACAATTTTTAATATTGATTAAAATAAAATTAATTTCAATAAAAAATATTTATGCGACAGTCTGCACCAACTGAAATTTATCTCCAATTCCAATCACACTTAAAAAAACATACTATCACAGTAATTAGTCTTGGTTATGGAAGCAAGAAATACACACAGAAAAATGTCTGAAATTTAAACTAAATGTGAAATTTATAAAATACAATAGAGCGTAGATTATCCAAGCTAAGCACAAAAGCTGAAGTGCTAATTATCCAGGATTTAGTTAACAAAAAAGTCAGATATAGAGACAATCTAAAAATTGCCTACAGTATTATTCTGTAGGTTACTTCATGCTTTTTCCAGTCTGTGGACTGACAATTGTAGTTTTTAGAGCTGAACTTAAATCATGCTCATAAACGGAAAAAGAAGAATTTTGTTTCTTTACTGGAGAAACTAGTTCAAACAAAATTTATGGTCCTTGTTTGAACTAATTTAGTGAATAATTTGGTTAATTAACTTCCAGATAAACCATGTTCCACTGCATCTCGAAATCATGAAATAATAATAATTGTACAAAACCAACTGATACAGTTTACAAACTGGAAAATGGTGATATTTTTTATCAATCTAAGGGAAAAACTAATTAGCTGTACTACAACTCTCTCATATGGATCCATGAAATAAATTTTATTTTTCTTACTTAGAAAACACTGGATGAGTCAACTTACAACTATCATGTCAAATATAAATAAATAAATAAAAAAATATCTACAATAACTACTATTGATCAAAATAGCTAATTATATTACAAAACACTGGATATACAAAGTTAAACCAGTTGATTTCATAATAGAATTGCATTTATTTCCAAATTAAATGCAATTATTTTTTAAATTTAAATTTCATAATCATTTTGTAAAAAAAAAAAAAATTCTGCAAAATGAACATTTATCAGAGAATCAGAAAGCATGAATTGGCACATTTCAACTTCTCCAACTGAAATGTAATAAATTTAAAAATAATAAATTTTATCAACAAAATATTACTATTACATTCTGCATATACAGACAGTCCCAGTGATCGGAAATAGTGCACTACAGGTAGCGAAACTATTTCAGTCGCGACTTTTTTCCGTAGTTTGTAGTGAAGTGCGCTACTTTTTAACAGAAGTAGAGTAGTGAGTAGTAGAATAAAAAAATCATAAAAAACCCGTAGTTTGTAGCGATTCCTGGCAACTACTTTTAATGTTAGTTAAATAAAGAGACAAAGTTTAAACTCAAAAAATGTTTCCAATCTGATTTGTGCAAATCTTTTGCGGGTTTATCAACATAGGCAATGAGAAGGCCTCTGTGGCTGAGTGTTAATAAGATCTATGTCTGACGCTCGGAAAATATGGTGCCAAAACAGTAGAGTTATTACTCAGAAATCTAATTTGACATATCAGACTTTTTTAAAATTCGATTTCACAGGAACTATATAGTATGTTTTTGTACCTGATTTCATAACTAAAATATTGTCTGCATTAATTAGCATATTTGCAGACACTCCTCAAACATTTAGGATTGAGTCCTAGAATGAGCAGATCAATCCTCCGTAGATTAGAAGTTATTAAGTGTGGTCCGTGTTTTGCTTTTCGCCGGTACCTTATTTCTTTATATAAAAAAGCATTGATCCCTTTTATCACTGTCAAGAAAAGCATAGCGTTTGAAAGTTAAAAGAACAAATTCATAAAAAGAGCTTTAGAGTAAAAAACTAGTTCATAAAACATGAATTAAAACCTCTTAAATTCCCCTAATACTTAAACAAGCCTATTTTATTCAAAATCATTTTGAATATTGGTAAAAACGTAATATACAGAAACATCTTAGTGAATACAATGAAATAGTGGTGTTTTTTACTAAAACTGCTTTTCTGATAAATTAAAAAATATGGCTTTTTATTACATTGCATCAAGTTTCTGAATTTTTCTATTTCCATAAATAACAGAAAATTGGACTTTTCCCCCTCTAAGGGAGAAGGAAAAATTAGTACTCCTTAAGAATTTATTACAATTTAAGGACAAGACTAACCCTCACAATAAGACACCTTCATAGAAATAGGCTATAAAAATTTAAAACCACCTAAGATTCAACATTCATTTGAAATTCCCAATAACTCAATATTAAAATTAGCACAAAAAAATATTAAAATATGTATATTTTTAAACTAACTTGAACAAAAATATTTACAAACTGCTTTTTTTTTCCCCTTTGTTACATACACATGGACATTAATTGAAAAGGATGATATAGGAATGTGGTTACAATATTACATTCCATATTCTATATTTATGTTTAGAATTTTAAATAAATCGATTGATAAAACGATAATAAATTAATAAAACGATTATAAGGTAATATCTTACATGAGGTAAAAGACCAAACAAGAGACCTTTACCCTTCTTCCCTCGTCGAGCTATGTCAATATCTCGGCGCACATCTTCAAGAAAATGAAAATCTAGAACAAGAGAAAAATTCAGGCTTCAAAAGTTATCAGTTTACATATAATATGGCACACACACACACACACACATATATATATATATTGCACTAATAATTTCAAAACAGAAATCCTGCCAAATTTTAAAATAAATTTCTTCCTTTAGGTATTTTTACCAAAGTTAATGAATAGAAAGTTTAAAATATATTGAAATTTGGGCTTCTAACTCCTTAATTCTTTGTTTCGATTTTTTGTGACTTAAAATTCATAACTACAAAAACAAAAGAAAATTCAAATCATAGAGGAAAGAAGGTTTCACGTTGACATGTGGTAAACAGTAATTAATTAACTGTGTGAAAGGTTATTAAGGTCATACTATAAAGGTCATAGCAGGCGTATGCCAATATGTAAAAAGCGTCTGTAGGGCAAACCAGAAATTTTGGTGGTAAGTCTGATTTCAGCCCTGCAGAGAACCGAAAACATAAGGCAGACAAACAGCAGCCATATGTGGCAAATTTTTTAAAAATGTAAGTTTATTAAAACTCATTTCTCCTACATTAATTTAAAATTTGCAAATTGAAAAATCATCACAAATTTTAGCTATATAGTTTGAATTTTATATTTTGAGCCGAATGACTCAGTCTTTTTCTCAAATGGAGAAATTCGCATTTTTCAGAACATAGATGTTCACTTTAAAAGCATCCTCGAGAAGAAAAAGGAATCATAAGGTGAAATTGTAAGTATCTTTGTATTTATTTGTCATATATATATATTAACATCAAGTCCCCTGATTAAAAAAGCCTTTTTTTTTTGTAAAATTAAACTATGTAACACTTAAAAAAAAATTGCAAAAATGTTTCAAAAGCCAATTGATGCATATAAAAATAACATTTTCATATAAAAATGTTTTTTAAATGTGCATGAAATTTCAAATTTTCAATGCAAAATGTAAAACACTTATTTTACATTTTGAGAGTAAGAAGCGTAGAATTTTTTTGAAATAGAGGTGACTGCTACAACTTTTTTTTTATTACAGAAGTAATTTTAAGCTTACAATGTGTGGAAAACTGCGCCATACAGTACAAAATACATCCATAACAAAAAGAAAGAAAAAAAATGAGTATAAAATTCGTAAATATAAAGTATAAAATTCGTTTTAATTTAAATATTTGAATTAATTTTCTTGAGCCCCCCTCTCGGGGGAGACCTGTCCCCTGGCCTGGCAAAGTCTGGAGTCGTCCTTGGTTTTATTGGGGGTAGGGGAATTATATTGAGGCCTTTCATCTACACTTTTGGAAGTTCTATAAAATCTGTTACATATGTTAAAAAAGGTAAACATTAATGTGATTACCGCTATGAAGTTGAGAGTCGTTGAATTCTTCTACCGGAATGAATGCAGTCTTTTCTCTCATCCCATCACAGTTATTTTCCAATTTATGAGCCTTCACACAGTTAACAGAACAAGACAGAATTGAACACTTTGGACATTGATATTTTGAAGGAGCTTGACAAGATGAGCATATTCTAAGAAAATAATAAACCAATAAAATAAAATAAAAATTAAACAAAATTCAATAACAGAAAAGAATACTAGATTCATTTGAATAAAAAATAAACTTTTTACAACATGATAAAACCTTATGTTCAACAAGATTTTACAATATGCAAGAGACAGAGACTAATTTACAATTTACTGGCCATAAATGGATCATTACCCAATATTATAATTTTCATTAAGGCCGTTGGCACCTGAAAAAGGAAGTGAACTGTCTATGGGGAGGAAGAGTGGAGGAAACCTTAGCCCCTGGTGGTCAGTAAAACGGTTAAAACTCCTCAGAAATCTGGGAGNGGCCTTAATTGAATGAAATAGTGGAATCAATAAATGGTACTTTAATAGCTACTATGCAAATATCTTTAAAAATAAGCTTTAATTTTAAAACAAACTAATATTTTTTTAACTTACATCTCTACTAACTAAACATTATCAGTATGTCTTTCACCAACAATCGATTGTATATGCATAGTAAAAGACATGACGGATGAACCCCAAACAAAACATTTCAAACAAAGTTATTGACAATATCTGAATTATAATATGAAAATTAATAGGCATCATAGTCAATATAAGACACACAACCAAGCATGGACTCAATTTCTAAGTCTTAACAGCTTAGACAATGGTAAGTCTTACTAAAACTTAATAACAACAAAGATTTCTAGGAAGTTTCGGCCTTTTAAACATCGAGATTTAGGGTCATCGACCAATTCCATCTACTGAGCATCCTGCAAAAATTATCAAACAGGTAAGCAAAAAATTTAATAGTAACTAACTCCTCTCACAATAAAAACACTATCATTAGCCTTTCGGATATAATATTGTAACTTGACTAGGGATTTGACACCAGATTTAGCTAATCTGCTGAGATATCAAACAATGAGCATTAAAAAGTTATTGTCTTAATATATTTATCTAATTGCTTCAGTAAAATTATTGTTATATAAATTCTTCTTATAATTAACTATGAATTCTGGTTCATAATGACTGTAAGGTGACCACACATAGTGGGAAGCAAAAGGCATATGGGAGGCAAGTTCCTACAGGTTTGCATTAGTATGCATATATCATTTTAAATGGTATTTTGTATGGAAATGCACCTTTCACTCACTCAGAGCATGACCTACCTAACAAGCTGCTTTGAGGAAGAATGATGCCTTATTTGATTTAATGTCAGGGTTGGCTTTCTGCCATGCCAGTGGCAGAAACTGGTTGTAACCGGTAAAAACTGGCATAAACTAGAAAAACCTTTACATTAGTTCTGGTCATTGCTTAATGACATTTTGTTTAAGTAAACTAAAAAATTTAACTGTAACAAACTTTTTAATTCATTGTTTGTAAATATATATTATTTTGTTTACATTAAATATAAAGAGTGCAGTGCAGTATATATAATATTTATATTAAATAAAGAAAAGTTATGTAATAATAAATACTACATTTTAGTTTATTATATTAAACTCTGAAATTCAGAAATTATTATCATTTAACTCTTAATGTAACTGAATAGAGCTACTTTCAAATATTTCTTTTTCTTTTCAAGACATAATTTGCATGACAACAATCCAATTGTTATAACAGTAACAGTTTTAATCTTCGCTGTATGTAAGAGGTAATATAATTGGTTAGATTCACTGATTCCTAAATGTAAACAGCAATTTTACTGATCACTTTGATTAACATTTAAATGTTTTTTCTATGAATTATCCATTGTATATCAATATCAGTACTTAACTTTTATGTCATTTTCTGAATTTCTGCCACAAATGTGGCAGAAAATGGTTTCAGCCATGCCAGTTTTAACGGGTTTCTACCAGTGGTTTTAACCACCTTGGCAGAAACTTGCCAACCTTGTTTAATGTTCTTTAATTTTTCAATTGGTATTCTTGCACTTTTACTTGAAAAATTTTTATAATTAAATATTCAAAATGTAGGCACTCTTTAATAGATATAAATTAGTTAATCATAAAATTCTCTTCATAGGTATTTCTTAACAGAAAACATTCGTTTTAGCTCTTTAAAAGAGCATAACGAAAGAAACAAAAAATTTGACTTCTTTACCTTATTAGTGTGTTACTAATAAATTTATAATAAAATGTACAAATAAATATATATAAATAACATGTTTACATACATAGCTTTCACCCTTACAAATGAACTTTTTGCTACAGTACTAATGACATAGATTTAGAGAAAAATTATTATCAAAATTCAAATATTGAAAAATATTATAAAAGTATAGCAACAGGCTTACTTTTGAAATACAGCACCACTTTTAATTTGTTTTAATTCATCTTTGAACGGTACAATTGGGATATTTTTGTCAACAGGTAAATTAACGGTTTCTTTTTCGCTTTCTGCAATGCAGAGTATCTGTGATGGAGTCAGCACTTCCATTAGCAAAAAATAGACAACAGCTACTTTTTCTGAAATAAAGGGGGGGAAATAAAGCTTTCTAAAATTCAGACAGAATAATATTACCCAAAATAAAAATTTCTGTAATTAATTAAATGAATAATTTAAATTAAAAGTAGTCTTCTAAAAATTAAGAACAAAAAACACTCTTTTAGTTGCGTTCTTCGCGATGTACTCGATTAATCCCTTTAGTAAAACGTAAGATGATAATATCCCCAAGATTCATTTATTACGCAAATCCTTTTAAGCAATAATTGAAACTTTTTTAATGAAAGTTTTAGTTGAAATTATTAATGAATTTATTTGTGTACGAAATATTATATATTTTTAAACTGATATAACCCTTCTTTAAATACCACAATTAAAAAGGCCAATATTTTAAAGATGTATCAAAGAAATCCTATAACATATTTTAACAAATCGGTTTTCGTAAAACAAATTAAAATAAGTTCCTCAAAAGTTTACCAAAAACAATCTAGCATGCGTTCACGTTTTACTCCAAGACATAAACAAAACAATCATACCAGCCAGTCACATTTAAGTTACGGATCTAGTTCAACCAAAAGCGAAACCAACGAAAAGCGAAAAGCTACACTCCACTTGTGGAGCTAGCTGTTGCTTGGCTGCCCGCCTTTTTAA